GTTATGATTGAACGAAAGTGCATTCGGCAACTTATATGTGGAAGTATCTATGACAAGTCTATGGAATCCACTCATAAAACAAACTGACTTGACAGACGTTGTTGGTAAAACAATTTAGCACATAAGTGGAGAAAATATACGGTAATCATCTATAACAGGTATAACCCATGTTTACATTGCATAATAGCTGATATTATTTAATTTGTTGAATTTCGTTAAAGTCATCGCCTAGTACAATATTGTTGTTTTTGTTATATCTATTAAAAAATTATATAACACTTATCATGCTTGTCAACATGTGTTTTTATATTGTCTACGGTCCCATTGGCCCATCTAAAGTGGTGGGAGTATTTCACCACAAAAGTCCCACGGACTCACACATGCTCCCTGACTATTAGATAAACTGGAGGATCTTAGATTATCACTGAATTTTCCATATTACTATTTATACGTTATTTACAATCATATACTATAGTCAACCGTATCAGGTACGTGTGGCATGTGACATCTGTTGACATGCTGGATGTATCATGTATTTATAGTATTTGAAGAAAAGCTATTGTACCCTTTGTCGATGACTGACCACCTGTTGCTTAGTTACCAACTATGCCACCTTCAAAACCAACTCAATCTATGAATACTGTCTCCCAATGTTAACAACACATGCATATGTTAGCATGTGTTAATGTTTTCATATTTCCTGGCATTAAATATCTTTTTCAAACTGTCACAAATGTGATTTCTGGAAATAAGATCTAGATTTTCCTCTATTTGGTTGATAACATGGTGGAGAGGAATATTTGTTGTAATATTTGTGGAATATCCTTGGTATCCAGACAGATAAATGCATGACCTGTAGGTAAATTCCTTGCCAACCTGAAAACAAAAAAAACAGCAATATTAAAGATTAGCATATAAACACTGACACTAGTTTTCATGCATTTAACAACTTTATTATTTATTATTGTTTGTAGTACCATTATATTGCATATCATACACTCATGTAAACAGCAGAATAATTTATGGAGATCTATTATTGTCAACACAACAATCAATTCCTGATTCCATAATTGATATATTTGCACGTATATCATTTGTGAACTTGGCCATACTACGAGATATGAGATCAATAAACCAAAAGGTAGGACAGATTGTTCAAAACGCACATACTAGCAGTATACGTCCCATCCCTATTTCCAACTTGCAGGATACAACATCCCCTAAAATAAAAGTGTCATTATCTTTCAGCTAACTTATACCGTCCTATGAAACTAAGCACACCATTCTGCCTAAGCCAGAAAAATGGACATGCAAAATATCTTTGACTATAGCATAATATTTTCACATTTTTGAGGTATTTTGGGAGCTGAAAAACGATGTCACAGTTATATTTACTCAGCAAATACAAATGTACCATCTCTTTCATTTCATTTTCTCTGCAAAAATCATCTTTTTTAACTGGTAATCCATGATTTTAATCTTATATATTTCTTCTAGCTGCCCCTTTATATCCACCCACACTCACTCCACTATCTTTTAAAAACTGTTTCAAACATATAGCTGATTTCTTCTGTGATTGCATATCTATTGATCATTTGACTTTTTATATTTCTGTCCTACCCCCCCCCCCCCTTTTGCCTGGTAGGTTACACATGTGCAAAAAGAATAACATCATGTCTGTCGGGAATTCCCTTGATTTATAGATTTGGTTGAATCCAACTAGCCAATCAAAATACAGTGTGTTATGACTTATAGATTTGGTTGAATCCAACAAGCCAATCAAAATACAGTGTGTTATGATTTATAGATTTGGTTGAATCCAACAAGCCAATCAAAATACAGTGTGTTATGACTTATAGATTTGGTTGAATCCAACAAGCCAATCAAAATACAGTGTGTTATGATTTATAGATTTGGTTGAATCCAACAAGCCAATCAAAATACAGTGTGTTATGACATCAGTGAAAATGTTCCAATGGTATTCCATTGACCAATTATAGCCTCTTCTTTCCATTTAAATTTTGAAATTTATAAATATTCCTAAAAGGAAATGGGTTTCTTGTGTTGTTACGTGATAGGATTAACCTCTACGGTGGTTATTGACTTGATAGATTTGTATCAGTGAAATCAGATACCCACCTTTCAGCTTGGTCACCAAGCGATCCAATAAAGATAGCAAAAGCATTCACTTTATCATTGTCCATCAGAATATGTGAAAAACGATCAGGACTGATTCCATATCGATCAAAATTAGCATCACTTAATACAATAACAAAGTGATCATCTGCTTCCATTTTACTGACTTTTTCAATAGCATGTTTGGTTGCTTCCAATGTGTGGTCACCACTCATGCAGAATTGTGAATGAGCATGTACAGTCTGAAAAATATTACAATATCATTTAGTCATTATAGCATGGTGACTATATGAATGCACCCACAATCCACTTCCACCTGCACACAAGAACCACATCAATCCATCCACCCATCCCCCAGCCTATACTT